TACTTCAGTATAACCAACTTTACTTTACAGTACTTTATTTCAGTACAACCAACTTTACTTTACAGTACTTTACTTTAGTATAACCAACTGTATTTTACAGTACTTTATTCAGTATAACCAACTATACTTTACAGTACTTCAGTATAACCAACTTTACTTTACAGTACTTTACTTCAGTATAACCAACTNCAGTACAACCAACTTTACTTTACAGTACTTCAGTACAACAAACTTTACTTTACAGTACTACAGTATAACCAACTTTACTTTACAGTACTACAGTATAACCAACTTTACTTTACAGTACTTCAGTACAACCAACTTTACTTTACAGTACTACAGCATAACCAACTTTACTTTACAGTACTTCAGAATAACCAACTTTACAGTACTTCAATATATCCAACTTTACTTTACAGTACTTTACTTCAGTATAACCAACTTTACTTTACAGTACTTTACTTCAGTTTAATCAACTATACTTTACAGTACTTTACTTCTGTACAACCAACTTTACAGTACTTTACTTCAGTATAACCAGCTTTACTTTACAGTACTTTATTTCAGTATAACCAGCTTTACTTTACAGTACTTTATTTCAGTATAACCAACTTTACTTTACAGTACTTTAGTCAGTATAACCAACTATACTTTACAGTACTTCAGTATAACCAACTTTACTTTACAGTACTTTACTTCAGTATAACCAATTTTACTTTACAGTACTTCAGTATAACCAACTTTACTTTACAGTACTTTACTTCAGTATAACCAACTTTACTTTACAGTACTTTACTTCAGTATAACCAACTATAATTTACAGTACTTTACTTCAGTATAACCAACTTTACTTTACAGTACTTTACTTTAGTATAACCAACTTTACTTTACAGTACTTTACTTCAGTATAACCAACTTTACTTTACAGTACTTTACTTTAGTTAAACTAACTTTACTTTACAGTACTTTACTTCAGTACAACCAACTTTACTTTACAGTACTTTACTTCAGTATAACCAACTTTACTTTACAGTACTTTACTTCAGTACAACCAACTTTACTTTACAGTACTTCAGTACAACAAACTTTACTTTACAGTACTACAGTATAACCA